AAGTTGGAGCTTGGCTTACTTGCTTGGTGGAGAAACTCCGAAGATGGTGTAGGTGATGGCTGGATGTTGTTCTTTGCCTCGTTGACGGAGTCGATGAAGAAGTTGTTGAAATCTTCGGCTGTAACTGTGGCGTCGTGCTCTGGTTTCTTGTGCGAAGATACTTTACGTACTTAAGTCCAAGCGGCTTGAAATTTGTTGCTAGAGTATTCAATGAATTTAGCGTTGGAATTTAGTTTAGCTTGGTTTACCTGCAATTTGTATTGGTTACTGACATGTTTATATACTCCATAGGAAGCTTCAGTCTTCATATTAATGTGGATCATATTAATTAATCATAGTCTTCATATTAATTAATGACATAGTACTTCCTCCAAATTTATTGTCTTACAGGGAATGTTAAACTGAAAAACGTAAAAAGCAATCAAAGTGAAGTGGTGTCATTTTGCATGTAAACATAATAAACAAAGCAACTAAATTAAAAAAAATAATCATGTGTTGTGCACACTATAAATACATGTCTGGCTAAAATACATGCATCTTTTAAGATTACTTCCACGGCCACATATTGTTTATTTGTAAACATATTTGTTGCTGCTCGTCATGTATACAAATGTTTTGGTAATAATAAAACCTAACACTTAAAAAATTGAACAATGATTTTATTGACGTAAAAATGAACCAAGGGCGGTCTCAACTGCTTTGTTTGTTAAGAGTCAGCAGGACCTACGGCTATCTTGGATTTTCAGCCCACAACGGCAATACTAATGGTTGAAGCATATTACGGCATTGTTTATTAATATAAAAAGTTGCGAAATATATCATTTTAAAGTTATTGAAACCGCGGATGTGATTTGCTATCTACTTTTTAATTTTAATTGTTATTATTTTGTCAAACTAAAAACTAATAACTATATTGACTTAAACCGTGATTTTTACAGCATCGAAAACAAAAGTTTTAAAAATCCGAATAGCAATTCAGACGGAAAATATATTTATGTTGTTGTTGTTTCTGATCGGAGCTAAGAAAACACTGCTTAATCTGGTATCTGACGATCAACAACAATGCAAAATTATTTGCACCTACCGACTTTTAATAAGCCGACTAATCGCCCTAGCTGAAGGAATGGGTGGTTTATGCTATCATATACAACTTTAAAGGTTTGCCAATATTTGAAATTAGGATAGCGTAGCTATCACCTAACGACATAAATATAAAGATTCACAATAGATCAAATAAATACAATTACTCTCTCTCACAATGTGTAAACTACCCTCTAAAGTATACGGTAATGTATTGCAAATAGAACATAACACATGGCTTCACTTATTTATTCCACGATGACCCAATAGTCCATGGTAGTTTATTATTCAGCCTATCAAATAACCACTTTATAGAACGAATAAAAAAAACAGTCAAAAACATTTTAATTAAGTATTTTGTGATGCATTCAGCGATTTGCTTTGCTTAACTATCTTCATATTTGAATATCATTGATTAAAAAGTATTTTCATACATACATAAGACCCAATACTACTTTACAATGTACTTTACTGCTTCTGATGAATTGTTTTAGCCTGAGGTACAACATATTCCAGAACGGCCGGGGTGAATTCATCACTGCTATCCCAACGACCCGAACATTTGTAACATGACTACAAGCTCACTCTGACCCTCTGTAACGTGATACACAACATCTCGGTTGTATAGCTTCAAACCTAAAATAATAGCAAATATTTCTCGAACGTTATTACGTAATTATCATATAATTCACAACATAGAAATGGAAAATTAAATATCGAAGTTAGTTTAATTAGTAAACTGTATGCATTGTATGGTGTGGCTAAGTAAATGAGGCCGGGCACTATCAAAGTCCTATCCACCCTCGAGGCGTTTGGATCGAATTGTCTTTGTTATATGACACTCAACTTTTTACTATTTTGTTCAAAGATGTGTTCTTTAGGTATTTATCATGTACTTTTACACTAAGCCATGTGTTTAAGACTTTTTTATAGACGTTTTCTTTTCCCTTAACCTGTATTTATCATATGTTGTTTACACTATTCACTTTTTCAATGTATTGTTTTTCTTACTCATTCTAACATGGTTTCTCATTTCTTTATAATTTAAATATTTTTTACATTTCTAAATCCAACTCCATAGGTTCTTTTCTATTGAGTACTTCTTTGTTTGCACCTGTAGTTGGTTTCCACTCAAGTGGTGTCGTATAGATATGAAATGTATCAGTTCAGAAGTAATATTGCTAGAGTAAAACATGTGGTATAGTATTAGAATTTAAAGTACTGTAAATATCAAGAATACATTATAGCAAAAGAATTATACCAAAAGTATAGATGTGTATGTACCAATAGAATAAATGTAACATGTTTACGTTGGTAAATTATATAATGTTCAATTATCAACACAGACGAAAAAGACTGTGTCAATGTTCAGTAATGGAGGGATGTAATCATGAACGGAAACTGAAACATGAGAATAACTTCGTCACTATGAGTCAGCCATTACAAAGCATCATGTGACGAGATAGTAACTCTGATGTCACTTGTAAATTTCTCTGTCATCGCCCTTAATAAAGGCAAGACAATTACACAAAGAGAAACAAATTTTGTTTACAGATTATTTAACAAAAGTTATTACCTACATGAGGGGATTTATACAATTCTGTAGGAACAGTTTTTCTTTCCAACAGTGTAGTTCCAAAGTGAGTATTTTAAAACCAACAAAAAGTAATATTTTATCAAACAGAGGAAGAAACCTTAGGAGCGTTTTTTTGTAAATAGAATTTTATAAAACTATATAGCAAGTAAGGAGCTCAAACACCTGTAAATGGCAAAAAATGTACGGTTCATTGGATTAATTTGTAATCTTTTTAATAGCACCATATATTTAACAGGAACACTAAAGAATAATTGTTTAGCAATCTAATTTATATTTATAAAATTACATTAACTGTTTATTAGAGGCCATTTTACAAACCTAACACAATAACCTACAGTTAAAACTTGTCGCAAGCATCTCTCACATGTTCAGAACAATACTCAACAATACATATTAATGACAAGGGGAAGATATTAACTTCCAGGAATACACACACGACTGGCTTTCAAAGATCACTATGTTATGCAGTTACTAAAACTGAGACAGCGTGTTCTGGAACTGAGAGAGTTTGAATTCCATTAAGACCCCGTTACTTTGTACTATGAACTAACTAAGTAACATTTCTAAGAAATTATTAATGGATCTATTTATGCTATTTATTCTTCAGAGGTTTGCTAATGTGACACGTTTATGAATTTACTAGAGAGTTTAGTACAAAATAAATAAACGTCGTGACAAATAAAGGATGCCCAAAAGAATAGCGCACAGGTATATTGTTTTAATAACCGATATGTTTTGTACTACCCTCGCCGTAGCAAACCTGCAGAATTAGCAATTTCCAATTATGTGGCTGGTTTTCCATTGAAATCCAGAGTTAAATCTTTCAGATTTATTCCCTATTCAAGTAACATTTAACTTTAGGAGTACTTAGTTTTGCTGTGTCATAATCTTGTTCTATTACTCTATACTAAATAGTCAGCTGTTGGTAAATATTAAATAGTAAACACTTCTTATTGTTACTTTTGAAAACATTACACACAAACATCTATGTTGTTAAAAATAAAGAGATATAATTTACAATGTGCGTGTATTTTAATAGTACGGTCACAACACTTTTTGGCGACGAGTAAAAATCGAAATAATGACATTTTACATGTTCAAATAATCTGTGATTATTATTCAATCTGTTTCAATCATTCAACCTACACTTAACTTTCATCACATTTGACTGGACCACAATGGATGCTGACCAGTTCAAGGAGTTCTTACAAGTTTTTCAACAGCAACAACAAGAACAGTTTCAACAATTATTCTCACATTTCACAAGGCATGAGAAGTCGGAGGTATCAGTAAGTCTTACAAATATTGCTCCATTTGAAAATTTCAAACCTAGACGTGAAAAGTTTTGTAATTATCTAGAACGCTTTGAAAATTACTATACTCTGAAAGGCCTGACTCAAAAGGAAAGTATTGCTCAACTCTTATGTGTATCTATTGGGTCAGTACATTACAATGCCCTATCAGCTTTTCTAGGCCCAGAGAAACCAATAAAAAACTTACCTTACGATGATCTTGTCAAAGTTCTAACTCAAATGCTTGTCCTAAGAAAAATGTAGTCGTTTCTCATATTACTTTTTGAACATTTATCAAAAGAATGGTTTATCAAAAGAATATCAGATTTCGTAGCCTCACTTCAGCGAGATTCAGTCGATTGTGAATTTACAATTGAATGTGAATGCGAGAAAACCAATTCAATCTCTGATGTATTTTTACGAGCCCAGTTCATCCGTGGCCTTCGAGATGATTGGCTTAAAGAACAGATTTTAAAATCAAATCTCTCTAGTTTTGACGAAATACTCAACAAGGCTATTGCTTTGAAGGCATCAAAACTTGACAGCAAAGAACTTTCTAAATCTAATCAGACATCAAGTTTTAACAATTTTACTTCTACCGAACCTACTAATGTAATTTCCAGCAGTTACAGAACTTCCAGAGACCGTTCGAAAGATCCAGGAAACAGAAGATTAAATTCAAACAACAGATCTTCACCTGAAAACTACAAGTCTAGATCTGTCTCCCGAAAAAGGTACATCGACTTCAAGGCCTTGGGAATTGAAAACGTATGTTTGCGATGTCGTAGAAATAGTCACAAGGCAAGTAACTGTAGAGTAGATTATAAGACGCTCTCGTGTACTAACTGCAAAAGGAAAGGACATGTATCTAAAGTTTGCATTCAATCACTACTCAAAAATTCAAAAGTAGATTTAGTTGAACCGTACGGTACTTTAATTCAGATACTAATAGTGAACAGTCCAATCAACCTTTTCATGACCCAACATACGGCATTCATAGCATGAATTGTACTGTAGTAAACCTTTTTGAAATGACTCCTGATCTCGACAAATACCTCATTGATGTAGAATTAAACGGCAAACGTCAACGTTTTGAAGTCGATTCCGGTGCAAAATTTTCCCTACTTTCAGAAAGTGATTACAAGAAACTCAAGCTTGGCCTTCCCCTACAGAGTTCTAATATTTGCTTTCGTTCATACACAGGTAACATCATTAAACCTGTTGGGAAAGTATCTGTTACTGTATCTTACAATGGTAAACAGATATATGGTGAACTACACATCGTACCTGCAGGACATGACGCTTTGTTAGGTAGACAGTGGATTAGAGGGTTAGAAATCGAGCTTCGACAGGTGTATGAGGTAATGTTTCAGAAACCTTCAAACCACGTTCCAACTCACAGTGTAAATTCAATAAACGAAATTTTAAGTAATTTTGCTCCCATTTTTGAAGAAAAAGTAGGATGCGTTCCAAACTTTAAAGTCTCCCTGCAACTTCGAGAAGGCGCAAAACCGATCTTTACGAGGGAAAGAGATGTGCCATATGCACTACGAGAACAAGTTGAAAAGGAACTAGATACACTTGAAGCTGAAGGAATAATTTCCAAAGTCACAACTTCGGATTGGGGATCACCTCTTGTTGTAATACCCAAACCTAACGGCGGAATCCGCCTATGCGTTGACTACAAGTGTGGGGTTAACGACAGATTAGTACAAGCAAATCATCCAATACGTCGCATCGATGACGTGCTCAACAGCCTGAGGAACTCTAAGTACTTTTGTAAGCTTGATTTATTTAAAGCTTATTTACACCTGCAAGTTGATGAAGACAGTAGCAAAATTCAAACTCTTTCAACACACAGAGGTACATACAGGATCCACAGACTCAGTTTTGGAATAAAAACTGCTCCAGCCGAATTCAATCGGATCATATCTCAAATCCTCATGGGACTAAAGAAAACAGAAGCCTATTTTGATGATATCATCATTCATGGAAACACATTCGACGAGTGCCTTCAAAACCTACAAGCATGTCTTCAACGACTGTCCGACTACAACTTGCATGTAAACAGAAATAAATGCACTTTTATGACTGAAAAAGTGGAATACCTTGGTCATGTTGTTCAACATAACAAAATCAGCAAGTCTCCATCCAAAGTTCAAGCGATTCAAGATATGCCACGTCCACACAATGTCGAGGAACTCAAAAGATTTTTGGGGTTGGTTACATACTACTCAAGATTTGTACCAGATTTTTCTACAATGATATTTCCACTCAGATGTCTACTGAAGAAATCAGAACCATGGATGTGGACAGCTACTTGTGAATCTGCATTTCTAAAACTCAAATCAGAACTCTGCAGTGACAGAGTGATAATTCCATTCGACCCTAACCTAAACCTCATCCTGACAACTGATGCTAGTCCTACAGGTGTCGCAGCTGTACTAAGTCATGAAATCGAAGGAGTAGAACGTCCGATAGCATACGCGTCTCGTTCTTTGAATCCGAGTGAAATGAACTACAGTCAACTTGATCAAGAGGCATTGGCGATTATCTTTGGTGTGAATAATTTATACAACTACCTACTTGGCAAGAAGTTCATTTTAGTTACAGACAACGAACCATTGACAAGGATTTTTCACCAAAATAAAGCTCTACCACAGATGACGTCAGCTCGCCTACTGCGATACGCTTCATTCCTCTCCGGATTTGATTACATCGTTCGATTCAAGAAGGGAAGTAGCAATCAAAATGTAGATTGTTTATCAAGATCTCCAGTCAAAACATGCAGTAGTTCAACAGATCAACAAATCGGGGAAAAAGTGAACCAGCTTTATTCTCAATCACTTTTTCAAGTATCCAACCGTGAAATAACTTCAAAGACAATCAAAGAAGAAACCGCAAAAGACCATGAAATGAATGGAATAGTTCGAACCCTGAAAAACAATTCTACTGACTCAGAATACACCCTACTTGACGGTATATTGTTTCGAAAAGACAGAATTGTAATTCCAACATCTTTACGCTCCAAAATACTCAGTGAACTTCATGAAACTCATCTGGGAATAACCAAAATGAAGCAACTCGCTCGACGCTATGTTTACCGTCCAGGAATTGACGGTGAAATCGAAAGACTAGTTAAAGGATGCAAAAGTTGCGCCCTAGTGAAAGCAAGTCCACCCAAAGTGTCAGTACATCCGTGGAACCTACCTGAAAATAACTGGGACCGAATACATATAGATTATGCCGGCCCTTATGAAAATCACTATTTTCTTGTTTGTATTGACGCAAGATCCAAATGGGCTGAAATCGAAGTGTTGAAGGAAGCACCCACATCTTCAAACACAATTAATCTGTTAAACAAGATATTTGCTACACATGGGTATCCGAAAGAATGCGTTTCTGATAATGCTACAATATTTACAAGTGAAGAATTCAGAGCTTACTGCAAGATCAACGGCATATTCCAAAAGTTCATCGCCCCTGGGCATCCAGCGACAAATGGCCTTGCAGAACGCAACGTACAAACCCTGAAAAACAAATTAAAGTCAGTTTCTGAAGAACCCGGAACCCTGACAGACAAAGTGAGAAGAATCTTATTCCGTTATAGAGCTACTCCATTAGCTAGCAACCAAACCCCTGCTGAACTCTACCTCAATAAAAAACTAAGGATTCGACTTGATGCCATATTTCCTTATCAACACCCTAAATCAAATATCCAGCCTGTTTTAAAACCTGTCAGATCAATTCAAGAGGGGGAGAGAGTACAAGTTCAAATATTCAGTAACAACAGACAAGTTTGGCAGTTTGGAGTAATAAAGAAGAAGCTAGGAAAAAGACATTACATAGTAACACTCGATAGTGGAAGAAATATCAAGAGACACATTAACTAGCTTAGACCAACTCTAGTAATGCAAGAAAAGATGGTAACATTTGGACCTAAGCAATAATTTGATGTACCAAGACTTCCAAACCAAACTCCATTTTATCCTGATCAAAGTCCCGACCATATTGAACCAGAACCAGACCAACCTACAGAAGTTAACATTCCAGTTCGCTCTCCACGACCAATAAGAAAACGACGACAGCCACCTTGGTTACGAGACTTTATCGTTCAAAAATAGTTCACGTTCTTCTCAATAAGTGAGGGAGAGTATCATAATCTTGTTCTATTACTCTATACTAAATAGTCAGCTGTTAGTAAATATTAAATAGTAAACACTTCTTATTGTTACTTTTGAAAACATTACACTACAGACATCTATGTTGTTAAAAATAAAGAGATATAATTTACAATGTGCGTGTATTTTAATAGCACGGTCACAACATGCTGTTTCTGAGAAAGCAAATCGTGAGTTTTTTTATTAAAATGTTAATAGCTTGAAGTGTGAAATAGACAAATTTGCCAACTATTATCAAAATACATCCGTAAACAACCAAGCTATTACTTATTAACCCACCAAAATGAAAATTAAAATTATAAATTTACGGTTCTTAAATTTTTTCTGCAACTACTAGACGCACAACAATGCTTTAACATTATAAATTACTAAATAACCTGTTGCTCGAAATCGAGCAAAACTGAAACTTGTATAAAAAAACAAACAAAAAACATAAACAGCAAAACCTTAATAAAAGAGAGTCGTTCTAAAATAATTTATATGACTGATTATAGAAATATAAAAATATTATGATGTAAAAAATATAAAAGCTATCTACAATATTTAAATTTACATTCACTCTCATACTGCTTTGGTTATCTCTTATGTATAGTAGGCGGGTGCACTATATGAGCACGTAGATGTCAAAAACACTGTAAAGTGAGTTTTTGACCTAATGTAGCTCAATTCCTCTCTTGACGCCAACCATCACTTCTCTTATTCCAGCATTGTTAAATTATTTCTTTGATGTGTTCTGTTTTAGGCGTATTTAAATTAGGGGCCCAAACCCAAGTCTCCGGATGGGAACATAAGAGAGTAAGCAAGAGGATCTAACGACAGATCTATAATGGATACGCGTTTAACATTATTAGTGTTGGAAAAAACTGTACGATTTATTTGGCCAGGTGGTGCTTTGTTTTCAGCTTTAAAAATTGCTGCAAAATCTACACAGGTAGCACCATTGTAGCGAGGGAAGACACTTCTTCTGTCTCTTATTACGACATAAGAATCTCACTTGACTCCTCGGAGCTCTCGTCCCTACAAAATGTCTGCCACAGTCTTCAAAGATTTGCAAATGGGTTTGGCATTGTGACCCTATTTCCCGCATATTTTTTCATTGCATTTTTTTTTATTGTGCTTAGTTCTCCTTTGGGTTCTAGTGACATTGTCGTACTTACTTACAGAAAATCTTACTTACAGATCTGTGCGTATTCAGGATCATCACCTTCTTGAGGAATTAGAGGACCCACTCGGTGGTAATACGAATAAGAGACATTTATGGTAACTGATCAGTTAAGAAAACAGACGACGCTAACCCGGCGGAGTTTGAGTCCAGACTCTTGATAGAGAGAATCTGGACTCAAACTCCGCCGGGTTAGCGTCGTCTGTTTTCTTAACCGATCAGTTAAATGTCTCACATTCGTGTTTGTGTCGTGTTTAAATGTTTATTTATTATTTTCGTGTAAATATGACGCTCTTCGTATGAAGAAAGAAAACTGTCCTTGTGCAGCCTGATGATGGTGTCACACAGACACCAAAACTAGTTGTGCTAACAACAAAATTGGATTGCTTAATAGCAGGTATTTAAACCTTTTCTAATTTTCTTTTTACATTGACACTGTCAGAATTTGCAGTTTATTGTACAGTATGATAATGTTTTTTCTGTGACTTAAAAAATCAAACTTTTTATGTAAGTTAGATAATCTGATTTCATTACAGAACAGGTTCAGTTAACTACTTTATTCCTGTACGTCGGACGAGACCACACCTATTTATTACTATTTATATTATGATACAGCCTTAACCAACTATGTGACAGTTGGCGCTAATGCTCGTTGACCTATAGTGTTCCATAAAACAACACACAGACAAAGGGATTGTATCTAATCTTAACTAAACATTTTTTCATGGTTGAAAACTAGATCAATATATCCTCATATCATATGGGTTGAAATCAAATATACCGGCTAAAACAACAGATGGTGTATTGGTTATAGGTTAAAATGCATTGTTTTTAGAACAATCATCGACGAAAAATTTTACATCCCATAAATTCCAAAGAGATGTAAAAAGTTCTTATCACGTTTCCAATGTTGGAGTTTGACACGACGACAATGACAAATTCAATTATTCCAGTGGCCAGTCGCCAATGGTGCTGGTATCTGTGTCTTCCTACTGCTGCATTGTGGTGGATTTGAAACGATTCTTCTATAATATCAGTAATATCGCTACTGCCTCGGATACGTGACGGATGGTTGTAGATAAAGGAATTAATGCAAATACGATTTGGATTTTATACTAGTAATATTGATAACCACGGAAATTGTATGTTGTTACAATAACTTTAAAAAGGACATGTTGCAAAAATACAATACTTTTTTAGTGCATGTATTCAGTCCACTCTTCAGATTTAACTCACTAATACACATAATTAGTAATTAAAAACAAAAAAGATAATCATTTGGAATTTTAACTTGTGTACAATAAATCATTACGTGTATTTTGTAAATCAAATTGTGTAAAGCCAACATGTCAGAGACAACATGTCGTACCTTGAGGAAAGATAAACATATTGACACTGGGGACTTTTAGTTCTCAGTGGTGACAGCATAATCTGGTGTTAACACCAATATATTGCCTCCTGTCTCGTCGTATAAGTAGGAGCTAACGTGATAAATTGTATCCACAAGCTATGTGAATTTTTTTACTTTTCCTTGTTATTCCTTAAAGAAATATTAGCTTTAGTAAAAGTAAAGTAATATCCATCGTAATGTGGCATTATGTAATCTTTTTAATTTAATTTAAACTAGTCCAATTGTCATTGATTCACAATTGAATAAAAATGAAAATTAGTAGATCAGGAGTTTTTACTATTTAAATATCATTTTTTTTAAATTACAGAAGCATTGTGTAAAAATAGCTGCAAGTTCGCAGAGTGAAATATTGTCTACCTTTAGTTAAGATCGAGTAGCAGAAATGTAAATGAAACAACTAAGTGGTAAAAACAGGAAATAAGTAAAACGGAAGCACTATAAACAATATGAAATATAATAAAATAAGAAATAAATATACATGAGTTTAAATTCAAATACATTTTTAGTAGAATATTAGTCCCAATAGCTGACACATCAAGCTTATTATCAACTTGGTATTTAAAAAAAATATATATATATATATATTCTATGCATTTCAATATGAAAACTATATGGTTAGGCTGACTGGCATTGTATATGGTTTTCATTCGGGGTTATTGATTTACCAGTTGATATGAAGGTATTAAAATCCGATAAAAATTATATGTAAATTTTGTAATAGGCATTCCAAAATTTACTATTCTTCATTGGTGTTACGTGTACTTGAATGTTTCCTATTTATTATCGACCAGCTGTTTATCATTTGTTTAATTTAATTATGTACAATTTGAAAGAAAGCTAGGAAGAGCCTAAAAGCGATCTGCCTGTGAAGTAGATCTCTTACGAAATTAATTCATCATGCCAATAATTTTCAACAAATCCACACAATCCAAGCTTTATTTTAATATACCATAAGCCTAAGGTTTTACTTGGTCAATAGTCACACATTTCAACCTTATCACTTTAATAATGGAATAATTTTTTTCAAATGTATAATAGTATATATATGGCACTTTTAATAAAATAAATACATTTGTCAATACCTTTTAGACGCGAATATTAGTTATAGGTAACCATGATGTAAATCCACGAGCTAGTAAATCTAGCACCCGCACATTCAGCGCTGTTTTGTAAAATATTACCATATTTTACACGTTAATGCAGTCCTGCTCACCAGCAAATTTATGATCATTTTTACAGCTGCACCGTTTGAAATTTTTATATGGCTACTGACTAGTACAAACGTGTTTTTTTTTTTTTTTAGATTGGGGGCCTCTTTAAATCTGCATTTGCCCGTCCACATGGGCCACAGAATCATGTGCATGGAATGTATCCAGCAAAGACAGGACACTACAAGGGGTAACAGGATCAGAACCCACAACATCTTCTTGAGCCAGAAGTCTGTGGCACTACCAACTGAGCCACCGACGCACCATATTTATTATAAATTAAATATAAAAGATAATACTGTAAAAATATTTCTTCGTGTAAATGCAGTTGGGTGGACATGGTAATTTGCGCAACTTAAATTAAAAAAGGGGGTTTTATTAACATTTTTAAAAGTTTAAATAAGCCAAGTGTATTTCTATGCTAAAGAAGCATAGACAATCAGAGAGTCTTAAAATAATATGATAATTCCTGAGTCCTGAGGATATGAATCCTGAGGATATGAAAACTGTCTCCATACATTGCAATTACATCAGAGTTGTAAATATATGAATTCAAACCAGCAATAGTAGTTATATAATGATAATTACTATGTGATCTTCATCTGGCTCCTTAGTTATTGTCAATCATGGCTACGTACTCATAGATGAGTGAACGAAGTGAACGAATCTATGTATCGTGTATAGCGGAGTCGGAGAAAAGTTGTCCGCTTGTCTGTGAGTGTGTCTGTGTGTTCGCACCAAAAACTCAAGAACCGTCGCACTTATAGCGTTCAAATTTTGCACAAATAATTATGACACCAGTGGGAAGACCTCATTAAAATTCTAGACGATTCTGCTCAGTAGTAATTATAAAACCCTTAAAAAACATTTTTAAATTTGTCCCGTAAGAATAACATTAGGAGCTACCTTCTTCTTCTTTTTATTTGTTTAC